AACTGTCTCCTAGTTCTGAAACGGCAAATTTCTCGAGTCAGCGAAAATTGATTTATCTCAAGAGTTACTTCACGAGTCATGCTTCTAAGCTCATCGTGAACTTGGAGACGACAGACAGCAACTACGAGGTAGCACTTCAAATGCTAGAGCAGATATACAAAAACGATCGAGCAATCCTTCAAAAAGTTTTGCCGCGGATTAAATGCAGTTCGAACGGAGACTGTGTCTTAGCTTCGTCAGCTACACTCAGTGTTCAGTGAGATTTCGCAGTCCATCAAGGCACTCGGAAGGCCAGTAGAAAATGATTTGAGGCATTTGCTTCTCTTCGAGAATCTCGATCTTGAATCTCAAAAGCATGGGAAACTGCAAACGAAGGGACTGAGGCTCTTGACTTCAATCGACTCATGGTGTTCTTAGACAACAAAGTCAGGTCTCTAGAGGTGGTTGAAGGATCTCATTCCAGACCCCATAAGCTAAAGCTTGAGCAGCAGATGTTCTTAACAGAAAAGAACCGATCTCATAAGAATGTATTCTTTACCACAGTGTAAAATTCAAACTTGCCAAGAGCGACATCCAGTATGGCAGTATGCGAAAATACAGGTCGATGAAAACGTCAGATAGAAAGAATTTCGTGACGAGCAATAGAATGCGCTTCAATTATTTGTCTGCCAGCCACGGCATCCAGCAATGTCCTTCAACATCACTGTGCACGACATGTACAAAGCAGCATCATACAACTCTTCGTGATAGTTCTAGTCAACCAGTCCTCATCTGGCAGCGACAATAGATGCTCCTCAAATCAACCGAACTAGAATTATCACAGTTCTTCCATCAGCAAACGTCAAAGTTCGATCTCAGAACGGTCGATTTCATCACTTGAGGTCGCTCCTTGACAATTGTGTTCAGACGAACGTCATCACCCTACAGGCCATGGGCTTGGGATCAAACCAACAGAAGCTTTAGATCGAATAATTGGAGTGAACCAGAAGAATGCTATGTCCACCCATGGTCGAATGAATCTCACAATTCTACCAAAGTCTGGTATCATTTTCAAAGTTTCTTATGTGGTGTTAGAAAACATTACAGATAACGAGCATCCAAAAACATTGATCACAGCCAAAGAGCTACGAAAGGTCAGCAACTACAACTTAGCAGATCCAGCTTTCGACAAGCCCAACACAATTGACCTCCTGATTAGATAGTCTGTCTACGCACACATTGCGACGTCACGGAATGTCCAGGAAGGAACTCAACTGCTAACCGAAAAGATCCTTGGTTGGACAGTCTCAGGTGCCGTTGATACCGATCACAGCGTCACAATACGAAAACACTCGCGACGATATGGAATCAACTTCTTTGACAGCCAGTCCGCCACATTTGACAGATTCTGGGAAATTGAAGATCTCCAGAAACCTAATACTCCTCCAACGAGCCTAAGTATATCCGACATTTCGATCAAACTATGACGTATGGCCCAGATGGACAATCTATGGTGACATTGCCAATCAAAAAGTAACAGGGGATCTTTGACAAAGTCAACCATGAATGGTTTCCCATTATTGGTCACTCAACACGCAAAGCTTTCTAGCCATTCATTTCTAATGAAACGAAGCTACGACAACCGTGAAGCCCAAGACCAATATAATAACTTCTTCCGAGAGATGATTGACACTGGCCATATCAAGAAGGTACTTCTGTCAGATCAATTTCTGCCAGTCGAAAAGTATTTCATCATGCATCACCATGCTGTTTGGAAGTCGGATTCAAGAACAACAAAGTGCAGAGCTGTTTTCAACAGATCAGCTCCAACTTTAACTGGAAAGTAGTTGAACGATTGTCTACTGATTGGTCCTGGTCCCAGGCAGCAGCCAGACCTCTTCAACATCCTTGTCCGGTTCCGATTCTACAAAATTGCATTATCTGGTGGCATCACCAAGATGTACAGACAAATAGAATTACACCCCAAAGATATAAATCTACATCAGCTCTACTGGAGAACAGAATAAGAGGAATCGATTGAGAAGTACCGGATGACTCGTGCCACCTACGGTATAGCTTCAAAGAGCTATCATGCTGAGTCGTGTCTGACACCGCTGACACAACAGATGATGAACAGACAAAGCTAGCAGTTCGCGAGTCCTTCTACATGTCTACGTGAACGACTACATTGGTGGTACAGATATCGAGGAACAAGCCATCAGAATGCGCCAGAGTCTCACGGACACTCTGGACAAAGCCTGCCTACCCATTCGGAAGTGGGCAAGCAGCAGCAAGGTTGTCATGAACAGTATACCCGACAAATTGCATGAAAACAAAAGAGTTGGTGTTAGCAAAACTCTGGGGCTCAGTCGGCAGCCAGTACCGGTGTGTGAATGAATTGGACTGAGTGAAACCTACAGGCATGCCCCAAGGCACCGCAAACCTTATCCAGCCCGCGAAAATTTCGAGTGATGACTTTGAAGCAATTCCAGTTGTTGTCAAAAATGTGGCCAAGTTCAGCCCCCCAGATGGCATTGAAAGAGCAACTTCTGAAACCAGGACCTGGTGCATTCGGACCCCAGCAGATAACCGATGAATCGCCTAGGTTTTTGCCAAGGATCAAAGTATTTAAAAGATAGATTTCACGAGGTCCCAAATCACACTCTGGTCAACTCCGGACGCTTGAGAAAAGCTAAAAAAGAAAATAAAGAGCAACCAAACCTTGACAGTCGCATTCACCAAGATTGCCCCAGCACGACTGCACATGAAAAGTCAAAAAAAAAACAATTTTTCAAGTTTTGAGCTCGATTTAATTCAAAAAGTGGCCAATTTTGGACGAAGTTTTCCGACCAAAAAATATCAAAAATCGAGAGCAAACTGACTATCAGCACACTTCACTGGCTTGCCCCACTGACAGGAATCATCCAGATGCCTCATACAAAATTTTTTTTGCAAAAACCAAGCCGATTTCACAGGAGCTATAATGTGGTCAACTTCGACGGAAATTTTGAAAGTGAAAATTCAAAAACATAATGATGCATTAGAACTTTGGTTTGATTCACCAGAATGTGAAGTAGCTCCAGAAAACGAAATCCAAAAAAATTGGACGGAGCCCATTTTTGAAAGAAATTTCTTTAAATATTTTGAAACGAGAACCTTCTGATGTAAAAAGCTTCAATACTTGCCAGGATAAGTTTGGATCGCAATGGTTGAATGTCATATCGTGTAAAACCTAAGATTGAGATTGTCGAATCAGGAGCTTAGAATAGCAATTGGACTCCGCCTAGGATCAAAAATTTATGAAAAACCTAGATGCGTCTGCGGAAAAGATGTGACCGAAGATGGATGACATGGCTTATCTTGTCTCAAAAGTGCAGGGAGATTCTCTAGGCTTTCCAATTTGAAAGGCCTCGTAAAACAAAGTCTCGACTCCACTCACATTCATTCTGTTTTAAAGCCACGACACCTCCACAGGACAGATCAGAAGCGACCAGACGGTTTGATGCTCGTCCCATGGGCTTGTGGTAAGCAGCTCCTGTGGGATGTAACGGTAGTTCTCTCCCTGGCCTCTAGTAGAATAAGCGCAGGCTCGTTTTTTAGCCCCAGAATGGCCGCGGCCCAGGCGGAAGATAGAAAATCTGACAAATATAGAGATTTCAATAATGATTGATCTTTTTTTTTCAAGCAATAGCTTTTGAAGTTCAGGGTGCCGCTGGCCCTAGCACTGAGATTTTTCTTAATAAGATTTGTAAGAACTTGTGCACGTGTACCGAGGAACCCACGGCAGATTATTTTCTTAAGCAGAGAATCTCCCTCGAAAAACCTGTTGCGAACGCTGCTTGTGTACTCGGCACTACTTGAAATAAAAAACTACTTTCGGAGAAATTTTTTGTTTATAGAGCCAAAGTAATGAAAGCACAGCCTTATATAATTATAGGATAGACTCTTAGCTTCATATCAGGTCCGTCTTTTTGACTCACCTTCAACTCCGGTTTATTTTGTGCAGGTGATAGTTTTCTTAATCTGGTTGGCTTGATTCCCAACCATCTGACTCTCTTTACTTCTATCCATATTATACTTTACTCTTCCATATCTAAAACATTCATTCCGAAGATTTGATTTTGACTGGATGTGATGAAGGGACTCCTGACTGTAACCTCGGTAACTATGATATTTTCGACCTTCTGATTATTTTAAAAAAAGATGCAGAAAACAGTGAAAAACATCAATGGTGTAAAACGTCTTCTGTTTTTGCTCAACCTACTCCGGTTCGGTAAATTTCGTTTTTTCATTTCGTTCTGTTTTTCTACTCGTCTCAAATGTTTTTTCGGTAGATTCCTAATAAGCTCATTGGCATCATATTTTATCATTGGATGAGCAAAATAATTTTCATGTGCGTGTGAGTCTTTTGAGAGGGTCATTTTATTTGTTTTTGGAAATGTTTTTTTTTATGAAGCGGGTGCCTGCTCAGCAATTGTCGGCTTTAATACCGCTTTGTTTCTATACAAATCTAACTTTAAGTTTTCGAATTTGTCTGTTTTTTAAGACAAAAGTTTGAAAATTTTGGGTAGTTCTAGCTTTTTCTCGATATTTTCAAAACTTTTTTTTTCGACAGCGGTTCGTCTCAATTTCTATCTGCTAGTTAGTCATGCTATGGTTGTGTTGTACCATAAGTGGTGCAAAGCACTGCTACGCCTCTGTTTAACATTAAATCAAAGGTTTATGTGATTAGGGCAACGATTTTTGGAGGCGCGGTCGCCTGCCTCTTTCAAATATAAACCTTTCCTTAGCTTAATCTACTGGTGGGTAACCTATTGAAAGGACCCGCGTCTGTTATTGAGCTTGAAGCAGATAAACGATATGAATGATCATTTTCAAAGCTAGAAAAAAACTTCAAAGCTGCACTTCAAAGCGTGTAAAACTTCAAAGCTCCATTTTTATTTTTTTTTGCGAATGAGTGGTCCAGGTCAACTAAAAGAGAACATGATTGGCATATGCAAGCATTTTCAAAGTTCCAGTGTCACATCGAATTTGATTTGTAATTGGTTTTACTTTTGTGTAGTATAGCTTTGAAAACTAGTTTAATCTGTCTGTTCTATTGTCACGCAAACATCAGCGAATCTTGATCAGTGAATTTGTGTCAAGCTACTTAAACTGTTTTGTTAAGTTATAAATATGCAGTTGTTTCTGGTCATAAGTCTTTACTTGATCAACTATGCGCTTTCGCATTCATCCTGCACTGCAAGTTAGTAGCTTTATGTAGTACAAGTGTGATAGAGGGCAAATTTTGAGCAAATACTGCAATAAAGGAACTCAAAATGCACTAGTCCGTCATTTCAAAACTTTTTCTCAAACGTAATCAACCGCCTCATTCGCTCATACTTAATCGATACTTCAATTGACATCATTTAAGCAAAAAAAGTTGAAATTAAACTTGAACAAATAACAATAGGGATAAATTTACATGGACCCGGTCGGTTAGTTTTTTGGGCCCCTCTATCTTAATTATACCCTAGATGTAATAACTAGCTCTCAAGGTTCTTTGGAAATAGCTATGTTATAACTTGTTTTTTGAGGACTGTTGAAAGAAAGAAGTATTGATAAGTTTGGACCTGTCAAAGTTATCATTTTTTTTATGATAACACGTTTGTACTAGAATGAGTCTCCATTTCTTGTTCTAATATTGTTTTCAAATGTTTTGAACGTTTAATTCATTTAAATAATTGACATCAAAAAAGTCATCTATCGTCTATTTTATAGTTTCCTATGGTCATGTTGTGTACCTATGCACAGTTGGCGAGAAGCGCAAAAAAGCTTGTAAGTAGTTTAGTTATAGCATAAGTAGTCACATCAAAATGAAGACAAAAACCTACTCCGCTACAAAATAAAAATAAACTCAAATTTTGGTATCAAAATGAAGACAAAAACCTACTCAGCTACAAAATAAAAAGATACTCAAATTTTGGTATATGACTAAATAAATATTAACGCTTGCGATTAGCAAGCGTTACCAAATCGAAATGTAGATTTTTTTCGGGTTAACAACTAGTTTAACAAAATCAGTTGAATGTTAGAGTACATTCGAAGGATGCTGAACTTATTTTCAACCTGCGAGGTTTTTTAGAGTTGACAAAAATTCGAAGCACCGGAGGTGCGTTACAAGCTAGTTGTCTTTTTACTCTTGGTTAAACTGTAGAATTAACTTGAATAAATGAAAATAGAAGCTTTCCAAAATTAACATTCATTGTAATATACCACCCTTTTTCCTATTTACCATCCATGCTGTTGTCGATTGTCAAGTGAATAGCTGCCTTTATTGTTTTTGTTTCTGGTCGTGTTTTCAAATACCTGATCTTCACACAGTATTTTTTGTGCGTTGGAAATATTTTTGCTGAGGGATTTGTGGTAAATTATAACCTTCGTTCTTGTTGTGATCAAGATTTGTTACCGAGTATCTTCATAAAATTGACGTTGACGCATTTTTTTTGTTTTCAACGCCGATGGCTGTTCACCAAGAAAACGCTTGTGCTATATTGCCAGTTGGAATTTTCCAATCTATCTCGCATGAATTATTTTTCTACAAAATAGTTTTTTGCTGCATATTACTTCAGGGTTGGCAGTTTAATGGCGGATTTTAATCCGCCTTATTGGTGGCCAGAGCGCACTTGTTAATTCGGAGGGCTTGGGTTGGCGAAGTGGAGCTTTGCTTCTGTGTCAAACGTTAAATTTAAAGCTTAAATTGGTTATACCTGTGAAGATATTTGAGGACTTTTATGTGATCAAAGATAATGTTTCAAATCTTGGTAAACATTAAGAAATCGTTCATCTTCTGAATTTTTTTTTCAGGAAATGATGCAAGCTCCGATGTTTCATTCAACCATTATGGCATGTGCGTCTTCCAAGATAATCTACAAGGAGCTGTCTTCCTCAGAGAAGGCGTGAGTCAAATCAAATTTTGATGTTTTTATTTTGATGTTTGTGATGTTTTTTGATGTTATTTTGATATATTTTTTTCTAAATTTCGAAATTTATATAATTGATTTTAGTTTGTTTTATGCTACATAATTTTTTTTGCGAGAGTTCTAGACGCTCGTGGAATTTTTTTTTAGAAATTCGCTATGCGCGTTTATCTTTTGAATGATAACTTGTATTTCTCCAATCCTATGAATCATTATGTTCGACAGCTCAAAACTGAATTTTGTTTTAATTTTTTTAGTATTGAGTTAGTTCTAATTGAATACCTATACCAGCTATTTGTCCGTTTTTGAAACACTATTTGCATTGCTGAACTTAAATTTGAGTTATTGTTCCGACCATTGGAAACATGTGGAGAACTTTTACTCGGGTTTGTTTTAGTTTTTTTTGTTTTCCACGAAAAATCAGGTGCCACAAATAATCATCGGATTGGGTCGGCTTATATTATTTGATCGGAATGGATCGATTTTTTTTAGGTCGTGATTCGAAAGACATTAAAATTATATGAAAAAAAATCTGTGTCGAGAAAAACCGATTTGAAATTTTTGGTTTTTGGATTAATTTCGAGCTAATAAGGTTTGTCAAAATAAGATTTGCAGGCTTAAAATAGCTTGTTTAAACCGCTAAAATTTAGTTTTACTCGAGTAAAGTTAGTTTTTCAAACTTTTCAGCGCAATTTTGGGAACCGAAAGTTCAAAAAATTGCTGCAAAAGTTTTTAACGATTTTTTTTGGTTTTCTTTTTCTTTTCTACGAAAACTGTTTTCCAAGTGGTCAATTTGACTATGACTGTCGAATGTTCCTAATTTCTTTTTTCGTTCAGATTTTTTTTCGCACAACACAAAAAAACGACACTAATTAGAAAAAATGTATCGTTTAAAATCTATGGTCGGAACATTCTGTTCTATTTGCACAGTAACCGGCTATCCTTGTTATTATCAGTTTTTAGCTGCTAAATTTTTGCCGAATTTGAGAGATCTGCCCTTGAGTATTAATTTGTTAGGATATTTGACTTATGAATTGTAATTTGCATCTGCTATTTCTTTCTTCTACAACATAATTACGGTCAATATAGGTATTTGCAGTTATGTCAAGTTCGGGTAAATTTGTTGTTGTTTTTGTACAGAGTTCTGGCCTTGAGTACAGAGTACAGGTGAAAGGGCTGTCCCATGGCTATCATGGCTTCCACGTGCACACGTACGGCAGTGTGTACAGGGCAGATGTGGGAGAGGGCAGATGTGTGGCCTCGGGGGGTCACTATGACCCACTGAGTGCTACTCATGGAAACATCAATGATACCAACAGGTAATACTTATTCTAGTTAATATGAATTGGCGTCCTATGGACTTCATTTATTCACTAGGGACTTAATTTAGAGGAACAAAACATTCAGCCAGAGACTAATAAGGTTCTCATATAGTTTCAAGTGTATTTCTAATCACTCCCCTCTTCCGTCTGTTTTAGGCACGTGGGTGACCTTGGCAACATCTGTGCGAATGAAGACGGTGAGGCGGTGGACGTGTTTGTGGATTCTGACAGCTCCCTCACTGGGACAAACCCCATCAGAGGCAGAGCAATTGTGGTGAGCTGCTAGCTGTGTTTGAAAATCAAATAACAGTACTGATCAATAATATCTTTCAAATTGGATTAAAAAAATTCTTTCAGATTGGATAAAAAAATTCTGTTCTAAGTTTGGTGTTCAAAAAAATTACACTGAGCACAAATAATCCGTCGCTCTTCAATAGTGGGAGCAATTACAAAGATATGTGCGTCTAAATTTGGTTGAATCGCAGCTTATTTTTCTGGAATTATCCATTTTGCTCCCATGCTTATAGGATCGTACGCGGTCGGCTTAAATGAGTTGTATTCTTCGCTGCCGAGTGTTTTTTGATATTTGTACTTATATTTCTGCTTTGAGGCTTCTTTACTTCTTTCTCGTCAAAAAGAGGATATACTTTCATTCATATTTTCATTCAAGTATAATAGAGTACGAAAAAAAGCGTTATGATCTAGCCATTTTTCAAATTGAAGTTGTTGAATAGGTGTTAGGTTTTTCATCATGTGTCGATGGTTCACAAATTGCATTTTTGTTCGGCCAATAGTCATGAAATAACGGAAATATTAAAAGTCATGAACATAGTGAATACTCCTACCTAGGTCTTGCGGTATGTTTTTTTTTTCAGAAAAGTCTTCAAATTTGTTCACGCTAAAATTTACTTCTTCGCGGTTTGACGTTTGACTTTAAGTTCAGTTCATTTCCTTCGTTAAAAGTAAGGCAAATTCCACTATCGAACAGTAAAAGTTTAATGGTCAGAAAAAACGTGATCGACTTCTAGTTTCGAAAGTGGAATTCAATTTTCAGATTTCTCAGCGGAATCAAAAGTTTACCGATTGATCTAGTTCTTTCAATGAGGCTGCTTTTATCGAAAAAGTGTCAATCATCAATAGTTCGAGAAATTCAAAGAAACCTAAGGCCATGTATTTTTTAATTTGAAATAACTGTCTTTTTATAACTGTCTGTTGGCTATGTTTGTTTTAGTTGTTTCCGTTTAATTGTTTTTGAGTCGCATAATCAGTCGATGATTGTTTGCTGAAAGAGCTGCAAGCTTTAGAGCAATCATCGAACAAGTCATGCGTTGTTTGTATTATTTTGATATTTGGTTTTTATAATTTGTGTTTAATGGTCCCATTCGAAGTATAATCAGTTGATGAGCGTTAGTTGAAAGAGCGGTCAAGCTTTTCAGCAATTATCGAACAAGCCATGCGTTTTTAGTATTTTCTTTTCATCCTTATTTTTATAGTTGAGTTTCATGTTACTATTCGAGGCATAATCAGCTGATGAGCGGTAGCTGCAAGAGCGGTCAAGTTTTTCAGCAATTATCGAACAAGCCATGCGTTTTTAGTTTTTTCTTATCCTTATTTTTTATAGTTTTGAGTTTCATGTTACTATTCGAGGCATAATCAGTTGATGAGCGTTAGTTGAAAGAGCGGCCAAGCTTTTCAGCAATTATCGAACAAGCCATGCGTTTTTAGTATTTTCTTTTCATCCTTATTTTTTATAGTTGAGTTTCATGTTACTATTCGAGGCATAATCAGTTGATGAGCGTTAGTTGAAAGAGCGGTCAAGCTTGTCAGCAATTATCGAACAAGCCATGCGTTTTTAGTATTTCCTTTTCATCCTTGTTTTTTTATAGTTGAGTTTCATGTTACTATTCGAGGCATAATCAGTTGATGAGTGGTAGCTGCAAGAGCGGTCGAGCTTTTGACCAATCAGCTAACAAGCCATGCGTATTTATTTATTTTCATCACTGCTTTTTACCCTTGCGATAAGCAAGGGTGTTGCACCCGGATACTAGACTTTTCCCCGTCAACAAATTTGTTCAAATCATTTCGCAGATGCTTCAGTTTAGTAATCAAAATCAATAGTTTAACCACCGCAGCTGGCTTAGGTAACACATCTGCTTGAGACAACAAAAATGTGGTTCGAATCCGACTGGGACCTGTGTTTTTTTAATCATAAGTTTTCGTCGCATTATGGTGGTTAGTTTGTCATAATATGTTTGTGTTGTATTGCTAGTGGTGCAAAGCTTTGCATCTCATCTGTTAATTTCTCAAGTAAAATTTAGAAAGTCTAAAACAATCTCACAAGACCCTCTTAGAAAAGAATGAAAAAAAAATGAAATATGAAAATAGGATTTTTTTTCAGTGTCTTATTTCATTGAGCAACTGCTGTCGAAACCTTCATCAATTTTGATTGTGCTAATGGCTGTGTTTATCATTATCGTATTTGTGCAGATAACTTAGTGATGAGTTTTTCTCCTGTTTGTACAATTTTTCCATGGCAAGTTTTTCGTCAATAATTGATTTTTTAAAAGTTTTCATTTTCGATCCTATATTTTGTGGAAAGTAGCCGCATTAGTTGAGCCTGGGTTTAAAAAGTCTGAAGTGCTAGCAAATGTCAAATTAAAACTTTAAGTATTTTTGACGTTTTTCTAAAGTTTCTTGCTAAATTAATCTGTTTCTGCATAATCTAGATAATTTAAAACAATTAGCATTACCATTTATCTTTGTAATTTTTGTGATATGTAGCTTGGTAGCTTTTTTAATTTTTTTTTCAGTTTTCAAAATTTAGAAACAGTTTTTGGGAAAAGTTAACTTGATCATTTTGTTAATTGTTTTTTTTTTTGAGTTGGAACGTTTTTCTTTGAGCTATTTTGCTCAAGCTGCTGGTAGTCAGAGCTTTTTCGTCTAAGATAAAATGAACTAAAATTGTTCGTTGTTTGTTAGTATTTGTCTTTTAAGACATTTTAACAGCACTTTTATAGATCGTTTCAAAGGTTAAAACGCTACTTGAGTCGGGCTGCAATTTTTGCCTGCATGATTTTTTTAAAGTCATTTTACTTCTTCTAAAAAACAGTTTTTTTAATTACTCTCATTTTTTTCTTGACTGATTTTTTTTTTGCATTCCAACTGATGCAAAGCTCTGCTTCGACTCTGTGTAAGAGTTTAAAATTTGATTTCCCATTCGAAGCATAATCATTTGATGATCGTTAGATGAAAGAGCGGTCAAGCTGTTGCACAATCATTGAATAAACCATGCGTTGTGTATTTTTCTTTCATCCTTGCTTTAAAGCCGCATTCGAAACATAATAACTTCAAGAGTTAACTGAGAGAGCAATCAAACCTTTCAAAAATCAGCAAACAAGCCATGCGTAGTGGCTGTCTAGGTCTTCGTGGCAAATATTAGAATAGCCCATTTTTTGACAGTAACTTAAGTGTGATAGTTATATTGTCAGGAAAACAATTTATCTGCAACTAAGAAATATCAGTTTTTAAAATGCTACAGATTTAGTTTTTTGGAATATCTTGGCTTATAATGCAGATAGTTATGATATAAAAATAATAACGCTTGCGACTTTTTGTCCGGTCAATGAATCATTTGATTGCTTGATTTATAATCAAAAACAATACAGAGATGACTTCTGCGCCTTTGGCGCTGAGGTAACGTCCATACTTGCGATAACAAAGGCATTGGGTTCGAATTCCTTCTTGTTTTTTTTCGGCTAATCGCTAACTATCGGCTTCAAATCAAGTTTTTAGAGCACTATTAAATTTGCAAGCTACTAATTTTTGGCTGAAGTTTTTGGACTATTGTCTGTTTGTTTCAGAATCACTGAACATAGTGAAGACTCTTATATAGGTCTTGGTGATTTTCTGTTCGTTTTGTTAGGAAAAAATCTAGAAATGCTGGAATAACTTAAGATGTTCATTAGATATTAATTCATTTATGAATGGACTTTTTGAGTTCAATTCATTTCATCTTCTAAAAGTTGATTAAGTTGCACTTTCCAAATACGAACGTGGAATAGACGAAAAAACTTTCACGACTTCAGTTTCCGAACAGTAATAAACATAGTGAAGACTCTAAAAGGTCTTTGTGACTTTTTTCTGGAAAAAGTCTTAAAATTGTGATGCGCTTAGATATATATGCACTTTTTGAGTTCAATTGAAACTCATCTGCTGAAAGTGACGTAAATAGCACTCTCCAAATACGAACGTGCAAATGGTGCGAAATTTCGTGAACGACTTCTAGTTTCAAAGCGCAATTTAATGTTAAGATTTCCATTGGATTTAAAACTTTACCTGTTGATCCAGTTTTCTCAAGTTGGGTTAATGTTACCACGAAAGCGTCAGTCATAAATCGTTCCAGAAATTCCGAGAGCTTAAAGGGCATCTGTTTTTTTTTGTTTGAAATTCGAACGTTGAGATTTTTTCAACAAAGTCAGTTTCTCTTTCTGTTTATTTGCGTTCATTACTTTTTTTTCAACAGTCAGTTAGCTTATTTTTAATTTTTTAGATTTTTCTTAGAAAGTATTTGAAAGCAGTAAATCTGTATGACGCAGTTTATTGGATATTAAATTGTTACCCTTTGGGGGGTAACTCGAATTTCGTAGAAAGTTTTTTTAAGAGTCAATTAAGGTAATTCAGACTCATATATAGGTCGCGATGATTTTTTCAGGCTCAAGTTTACTTTTCCGCTTTTTTTTCTTTGTAAGTTCAGTTCATTTCTTTTGTTAAAACGTGATCGACTTCTAGTTTCGAATTTAGTTTTCAGATTCCCATTGAAATAAAAATTTTTTATTGATCCGGTATTCTCAAATTGGGTTATTATTATCACAAAAATGCTAGTCATAAATTGTTCTAGAAATTCAAAGAGCTCTAAGTGTATCATGTTTTATATTGAAATTCGAAAGTTGAGATTTTTCAAAAAAAAAAACAGTAAGAATTTTTTTTCTGTTTATTTGCGTTCATTGGCTCTTTCGCAACTGTGTATTGGCTATGTTTTGGCTTATTTTTTCAGATTTCTATTTTACGCAGTTTTAAATTATTTTTTGACTTTTTTGCTGTGCATAATGGATCTCAAAGTTTTCAGAATATTTGCGATTAATTGACAAATCTTAAATTATCGGTCCAACTAAAAAAGCAGTCAGATCACTTATTTCACACAGAAACGCGTATTTTTGTATGCCATGTTTTCATATCTTCAATCGAGTTCTTCAATTTTTTTTGTTCTGATAATTTATAAATTAACACTGGCGAAGCGGATGTTTCCAGTTAGACGTATATTTATTTTAAAAAAAACTTCCTCCAGTCAATCGCGCTCTGTCAATTATTTTCTGTTCTGACAATTCATAAATAAACACGTATTTTGTTTTGCAGATCCACGCTGGCCCAGATGACTTCACCTCTCAGCCGAGTGGTGACTCCGGAAGTAGAGTTGGCTGTTGCATCATTGGCCAATCACAGTCATGGATTCCGAGTGAAATATCCTTCGGATACACGGATAGTTCAATTTCCATTGTCAGGTCCCAGGTTGTTGAGATGGCAATGGTTGGAGTATTTTTGATAGTGCTAAAGTTCATGGTTTGAAATTGAAGTAGAGATGACATTTATTTTACCAGATAATTAACACTAATAATAAACTTTAAAATTAACACAGCTTGGAAGTTTACATTAAATTTACAACAATCGGAAAATCTCGTTTCTCTTGAAGGTTCTTAATATGACATGAATCTTACGGTTTTGAAAGTAAACATTCTCTTCGTACGTATGATTTTGTCGGAGACAATAATGTTTTTTTTTGGCCCAGTTTGTAAAGTTTTAATTGATTGTAAAATATTTGTGCTTTAAACTTTGTGAATAAACTTAATAATTATTACAGTTTTCTTAAGTTTCGTTTTAGTAAACTAGTTGAGAGCTGCTGAACTCTTTTTCTAATAAAAAGACGTTGAAACGCAAAGTAATGGGTCAGGTCTTTCAGCATGTGGGCCGATTAGCACACTCATGTAGAAGATAACAGTTGACTTGATTGCAGAATAATTTTTTTATTGCTGGAATTTGCTGCAAATTTGAATGGTTTGTGCGCCACTAGAAATATTGGAAATTCTGACTTAATTATGTTTTCTTTTTATTGTGATTATCGCATGCTAATAGATACGGATGCCGGCAAAAAAGACGACAACTGTGAAATCAACAATTAATTCTACCTGGACTTTAAAACGGCTAAGATAAAGCGCGACCGGGAAATTAATTTGAAGGATTTTGTTCCGCTGCAAATTGTAACAAAAGACAGCTCGCAAAGTTTTAAAATTCAAAAAATTTGAGAGTTTCGGTAGCCGATGGCTACTTTGAAGGCTACCGATGGCTCTAAATTTTGCATTAAGTCCTGCCCTCCGTTGGCAAGGTTGCAGAACGTTGACACAACTGTGTCATTGAATATATTGCGACTTGTATTTAAATGAGAGTTGTCGTGCTACACTTTTATACGTAGCCCCAATAGACTGGACGCTAATGTTCATAGATTGGCTCGTTCTAAAAACGATCAATAACTGAATGTTGTTTTCTAGTTTTTCATTTCTTTTCAGATGTTGTGCTTCTTCAATTGTAAAATATGATTGGCAGCTCGCCAAAAAGCGTCGAATAAAAGTGTCTACGTGCATCAAAATGTTAATGGAACGCACTGACAGTTTTCTCATTTTTGCCGAAAAGGCGCAAAAAAGTGAAGATACGCTAAAACAGCTTTCACACGAAGAAAATAATGATAATAATAACTCGAATTTTTCCGCTGGTGATAGTGAAGTTAAAGTTGGTAATGGATTGTCACTTAGAAGTCGACTGTTTTCGAAGAAATTGAATTTTGGTAAGAAAGAGAAAACGAAAAAAGAAGAAACAAAAGGGGAAGATTTTGTGCAACAAGTTCGATCTTTGACAAACAGCATAACATCTTTGAAGGTAAGTAGAACTTCGATAATCTGTTTTTATCTTTAGAGCTTTGGTAATTTGTAAAATGTAGTTATCAAAAATGTCTCGTTCAGGAACTTAGACGATAGGAAATTAGACGATTAGAAATAACGGAATTTAGACAATAATTTGCGTGCAAATTGCGTGAAACTTGTTTACAGACTTAAATTAACTTTTGGCTGATAATAATAAGCTCTACTGGTTTTTCGTAAATTCCGTTTCTTTACGGTCGTCTAATTTGCTTGTCTAACTTCCTAGGCCCCAAAAATGTCAAATGAAACTGAAATCAAAAACTCATAGATTTTTCGTTTTAAAATCCCAACATAGATTTCATTTTAAAAACTCAGACATAGCTATGTTTTTTGATGTTCTATTTCATTTATCTACTGTCACTGAACATTGTACGCTCTAGAACTTTCTGGAACGGAATCGAAACGATTACCTCTCCAAATCAGTTTCTCTTCTAGTCAGTTCGCAATCGCCTTATTCCGAAATGGATCGGGATAAAATAGACGAACAGGCGGAAAACCTAATCAAATTGAGCAACACTATTTTATTCACTCTCAAAGACGCTCTAAATCGAATTAAACCTGCAAAAGAAACAACTTTGAATCAATTTGAAAGCTGGCTGACTGATTTTTCAGCTGAAAGTTTGACTCGAGGGTTCGAAATAAATGAGAAACTAGAACATCGTAAATTAGTTATCAGTTTGTTAGAGGCTTACTTGAAAGAAGTTTGCGATATTTATTCTGAACAAAAAGCAGTTCGCCTGAAAAGCAGCGTGGAAAGAAAGAAATTTTCAAGACTTGAATTATCTGCTAATTTAAGATCGCCTAAAGATCAAAAAGAGTATCGAACTGTATCTCAAGTTCCCCAAGAATTAAGTTCAGATACTGTCAATGACCCAAGCAAGGATCTCCTTTCGCCTGAAGAAATGCAACAAATGGAATTAGAAAACCAACAGCTGTTCAATGACCTTCAAGGAATGGAAGATCAAGTCAAGGTCATTGAAGGTCAAGTTGTGGAGATTTCACGTTTGCAGAGTATCTTCACAGAGAAAGTTTTATCACAGAGTGAGAAAATTGAAAGTGTGTATATGACTACAGTCAGTTCAACAGAGAATATCAAACAAGGAAATGAACATATTAGAAATGCAATGAGAAATAATGCAGGACTGAGGTTTTGGATTTTGTTCTTTCTAGTAGTGAGTTCGTTCTCGCTGTTATTTTTGGACTGGTATGATACATAATGATTCATGTTTTCTCTGAAAAAAAAAATGATGATCATGGGTTCAATTGATGTAAATTTAAGGTCATATCATGGAAAAAATAGTAATTTATTGTTAATTGGACGCGTACTTCACCACTGAGTAAGTTTTAGTATTATAATCTGCCGAACCTAATTAGCTGGGGGCCAAAAGTTACCTGTAGGTTTGGAGTTTTTTCGATCAAAAAGGCGCTTTTGGTTGTGTGTTCAAAATTATCAGCTGGATCTGCAACTTGATCCATTCTGTTCAATATGCCAAACCATATTCTAATTTTTTGATTTAGAGATTAAGAATAGCTTTTTTTTTTAAATTTGGGTGTAAATTTTATATGGTGAGTGACAAGGAGACAGGTCTATTCTAGACGATGAAATTATTTATCAGTTAAGTAGAAAATTTTAAAAAAAATAACGAAAGACAAGCTTGCTTTTTCAAACAATTGCAAGGGACGCAGCAGAAAATGATTCAGCGAATTATTTGCTCAATTAAAAAGCCGAAATGTACTAATCAGATGTTTCAATGAGGCCGCACAGAGTTGATCTTTAGTTTTGAGATAGTGAGTTTTGGATTGTGAATTGAATTTTCGGTTGATGAGATATTTCAGTTTTCAGAGGCGCCTGAAAACGGGCTGCATAGTTCCACGGCGTTCTCGCAATGAGATTTCGTTTGGTTGTAAATGTAGTAACTTTTACAATGAGCGGAATCTAATTTGCAAACAGTTTATTATTATATTATTACTTCCAATTATACAAATCGCATGCATCGCCATTTTGTCATGACTTTTTAGAAACTCCACAAAAATAACCAGCCACGTGTTACAGTCAGATTAAGTTGCATTATTTGGCGTGAGTTGGAATCACAAGGATGACATTTTGAACAATAAGTAATGAGGTTACCCCCTACCCCCCAGTGGACTTAAATCCCAGGCTTTTACTGATGTGGGAGTGAGGTATTGTGTTAAAGTAAGTCCATGCTTCCTAGAAATAATCTTTTCATGTCAGTATGTGACACCTCGAGGACCATAGAATGTTTCGACTGAATTCGGGTATGATACAACTTTCAACAATAATGAGTTATCCAAAACTCAAAATTGGATTACATGTTCACTTTGCCTCTAACCTGTAAAAGCATAGCTAACAAGCAATTGGAAACGAGTCATTAACGCAACGAGCTAGAAAAAATACTGATTGTTTTTTGAAAAAACTTCGAAAGCTCAGATCAGTTGTAGTCCTTTAATGTAAAACTTCTGATAAAACTCTTGGAAAAAGTTGTCCGAAAAAGTAAAGAAATGAGGCACTATGAAATACTTCCCAGGCAAAACGAAATGAAATATTTGTAAAGAAAAGTGGCAATCTTACTTAAAAACAAATTTGAAGAATTCGGAAAAATTAGTTCGTATAGAAAAAAAATGATTTTCTTACACTCTTCAAGTACGAAACTTTATGAAAAATTTTTGTTTAGAGAGTTCAATACAGGCAGTGATTGACAAGCATTGTTTTACATGGAGCTCAAACCAGATAAATTTAATCAAATTCTTTTCCAGATCTCAGATTTCAATCAAAAATCTTTGCTAACAGATTTTGTACTGCAGTAATGACATTGCATTGTTTGACTCTTTGTTTTGAATTCAAAATGATGTCTCTTTTACAAAGCTATCATTTGAACTAAACAAAAAACAACTTGATAAATTAAGAAGAAAAAAGGGTCAAAACCAAATTAATATTTTTCGATCAAAAAAAATGTTACAACAGCTCTCGGACATTTATTCACCCTTTTAAAAGTTTTAACACGTCACGAACAGCAATGAAAAATCTGTTCTTCATAAAGTTTTTTCTTCTAACAAAATAAATTTTTTAATCATCATACAAACGTTTTTGAACCTCGCAACAGAACCTGATCGTTTTTATTTTGATCGATGTGGGCCCTTGTTAACTTTTCCCCTTTGACATTGTCAACCAATTCCCCATGCTCTGCATGTTTCATTTTGACAAACATTTTGTGTGAAAAATACTTTTCAATATAACGCTGTCAATTAATCGGATTTTTTTGGTGCCTTCGTATGCTGGGAGACAATGAAAACCCTTGATCATAAATATTCAAACTGGTAGTACTTTTTTTCAACAGCACGAAAAAACGAAAACCATTTTAATTTCAATTTGAAAATGCCGCGATTGAAATTTACTGAAAAAATCAAGCCATTGGAATGCTTCGAGTAAGTTTGATTTGCATTAGGATATCATAGTTTTTAGATGTCACTAATCAACAGAATCTAAATTTGTTTTTCGTTATAGTTCCTCCAATTTGGTTGGCAATAGACCCAGCAGTGCAAAAACATAGAATGAAAAATCCGTTCGAAATTGAAAAAAGAGGGGTAGGGAGTACAATGTTTTTTACGCAAAATTAAGAGTAGTTCTTAGAAGCTAAGAATAATGGACAAAAAGTTCTTCGAGGAGAAGCAAAGATTGAGCCAGTTTCCTTTTCTTGGACGGCTGTGGGTTTGCTTCGAAATACAACTATTGAAGAGTCTATAGAGTCATATGCTGGTCTGAACCCAAAAAAAGGTTATCGAGATTTTTGAAAGCTCAAAAGCACTGCGGCGGCGTACTTATTTGGACGTTCAAACTTCGCAAGATTTTATGGTTTTTTAACATTTCCTTCGAAGTTCAGTAAGTTTTTTACATTGACCGAGATCAAATGTACAGAGCTACCATCTTTGAAAGTATCAATATTTGGTTTCGAAGAATTACCAATGTAATCCGGGTCTGAAAAAGCCAGTTTTCCTCATCAGCCTTAAGTTTTTTACTCCACGTTAATAAGTAGGAAACGTCTGAGTTTAGTAAAAGTTTCACTCTGATTGTTTCCTTTTTCTCGCTGAGAATATTTAACGTTGCATGAACAAATTTTTTACTCAAGTTTTTGTAGCTTAATTTTGTCCACTAGTGAATCACATTATTACAAAAATTCGTTGGGTTTTCAGCAAACAGTCAGCACACGAACCCAATTGAGCATCTTCAGGCTTCGATGAAGCGGAACTTTGGGCAAAAATTCCGCTAAGTCTTAAAAATTTGGCATGAATATTTTGGTAGTGTTTGTGTGAATGAACCTAAAAGCTTACCAAAAATCTTAGTTTTTCAAAGCCAAGACAAGTGTGCTAGTTTTTGTATCCAGGCCAAAAAAATACAAACTGAATACTGTTTGTTAAAACCAAATTTGGCTCTTTCAATTTTTACATTTGCTGAAAAAACTTCCTAAATTGATTTTTCAATTTCGTCCAGTATATCTGTGTTCCTCACTACTTAAATGATAAAAAAAATTTTCTAAAAACTTTGTTTGACTACTCAAGGTGAGTCTAACAAGGTATTCTGATTCAAAAATCAAAATGAAGGAAAACAGATAGCAATAGTTTTGATGTTAAACATAGTGGAGAAAGAAATAACAGAAAAAAAAATTACAACCCAAAAAACACAAAACCCTGGTGCACACAAAAAATATAAAAAAAGTAAAATTTAGTTTCTATACCCATAGATAGTGGTCTGTTCTTTTTTAAAGAAACTTACAAAATTTTGCTGAAAATTCCAAAGAAAACACTGAAAAAATGCTCATTTTTTGAAAATTAAATTACAAATGATTATTCGCATATTTTTTTCAATTTTTTCAAACCGCACGCAAATAAAGTGCTTTAAACATGCTTCGGTTGCAAAAATGGCACAATGAACTCTTAAGAACATAAATACTCTAGAGGAAAAAAGCCAACTTCTGGTTTTAATTTCTAAAATTTCCGCTTTCATTGTTGATTTTGTACAACATTCACTTCAATTTTCAGAAATATTTTACTCAGAACGAGAGAAAAAATTTCGAGTTAAACTACCGTTTAATTTTAAATGAGAACTCAATTTTTGCTCTCAAAACTGTCTGTTTTCCAAGCATGTTTTGGTCAACATTAAATTAGATTTTTGCAAAAAAATATATAAGTAGACCATAAGAGCAATGATCAGAGCTACCCTCTACAAAATAATCAAGTTTTGATTTCAAAGACTCGCCAACTTAATCTGGGACTGAAAATGTTGAATTTCTTCATCTGCACTACTTTTTTTCATCGGAGTGAACTTTGTTTCTGAATTAGGGGAGAATAAAATTGGGTCATGCGACGTGAAATAATATCAGCAAGATAATTGAATCAATCGGAGTGAAAATTTTGCTGAATATGATTGTGTGTTATCTTTTCACGCGGTTTGAGGAATTAAGTGCAGATGAAGAACCCGGATTCACTTTGTGAGTCTTTGCAATCAGGCCTTCATAACTTCATATGATATTTCAAACCTTGATAACGGCTATACAAAAGTTTTGCTGATGTTGAAAGTAAGTAATATTCAAAATACACATTGAAAATAGGTTTTTAGATAGTAAAACTTTAGTTTGATCTCAATTGTTTTAATTAGAGTCCCATTTTTGAAGTTATTTACATTTGTTTTCAAAACATACCAACTAATCCGGGTCAAAGTTGCTCAATTTTTTCATCACCATTACTAGGCCAAACTGTGCATTTTGTGAATTTTATGCGGATTCCGCAAAAAAAGACGCTCACTTTGTTCTTCTTTTGTTTTTTCGTTTCCTTTCCGAAAAAAACTTAACTTGTTTAAATACTTGTCTCTGGAATCCAGGAACATACAGACACAAAATAGTGCGCCTTTCCTGTGCACAGTTTGGCCTCGTAATGTTTAAGTTTTGAACCGGAATGAAATCTTTCTCGAATAAACGGAGTAAAAATAAGATTCATGCGAAGTGAAACTTTCTCAGCGTGGTAATTGATTTAATCAGCGCGAAATTTTCACTAAACTTGGCTGTGTCTTAATTTTAAAGCAGTTTGAGAAAATGCAGAAGAGGAAATTTGGCAGTTTCAGATCCGGATTAAGTTTGTGAGTCTTTAAAGCCAAACTTTCATAATTTCGAAGATGGTAACTTCGATTAGTTGCTCTCGGTCTGTCTTAATGTCTTCTGAAATTTAAAGTAAATTTAGAAACCAGAATTTGCGCGTGATTTTGTGCTCTTGTGTACTAACCGGTGTATACGAACTCTGTTTTTTTGGTTTAAGCGTCTCGATGTCTGCTAGGTTTCATGTTTTTGCTATATCAGTTTAGACTGAACGTGATGTGACGTACTGTGTGATATGATCATACCGGGCTGTTTCACGCTAGTAACAATTAGATTTTCTAATATCAAACTTCATCGCAAAAATTTCGTCACTACAAAATGAGCTCAAAACTTAAAGCTTTCACCTATGAATTAAACATATTTTATCCTGATTTTTAATTCTTTTTTCTCCAGCTCAAAAGTATTCCTGTTCACAATAATCATAATGATAAAAAAAATCATAAAAATAATATTAATAATAATCATAATAATCATAATATTAATCATTATAAGATTGAATTAAACCCGCAAGGTGGGGATTAGTTGATCTTAGTCATTGATAACAAAATTAATAAAATAAATTTAAAAACCATGACTCTGGATAAATCGGGTATTTAAATGTTTGTAGTTTTTCAAACAATAACAGGTTCAAATTCTTTCTAAAGATTAAAGGTTCTTGGCAAGATTCATAGCCAGGCAAATTGTTTGATCTCGCGAGGGTGTTTGACATTTCTGCGACACGGTAATCATTGGCATTTTCAAAAACGTCTTGTTTCCCGTTCGATTTGAATCAGGGCCCTTGTCGATTGTCCAAAAATCAAAAAACTTATTGGCAACTCGTTATTAAGAATGTTATTCAGCAAAACTAAATCGTTTTTAAATAACGTCAGTGAAATTGGCAACAGTTTGCTCTTATTCAAGTAAAAAACATAATTATCATCATTCAATTCATGTTTTTTGTAACACCATTTTAAGCATCGTCGTTGAAGTTTTTCTAATCGCTTACATTGGTTTTTAGTCGTCGCACCAAACTAGAGATGCATAAAAAATTAATGTTAGTATGCAACTTTTGAAAAGCGAAACCCGAACAAAGCTACTCAGTGAGTTTGGTGAAGATCTAAGATCTTCTGATGTAAATAAATTGCGTCTTCTGATGTGGTAAATCCATGACATTTTGAAATTGCACCAAACACCAATGTTTTCCACCATGTCTTTTAAAACTATTTATTCTCCATCAATGTGGCGTCCAAAAATTATTTTAAAAACTATAATTTGATTGGCTGTCGGGTTCTAACGGCTAAAACTTTTGGACAAAGCAACCGCAAGCTGAATGGTATATGACTGTCAATAAACCTCCAAAATTTAGTTGGTGCGCTAATCGCAACCTCTCGCAAAGTTGCGGTTTTTTGTCATGACTTTGGCTCCGCTTATCTGTTTATAATTAACTTGATTATTAGAAGAAGAAAAGATGAGTAATTTTGTCAGCAATCATTATATTTTCATCGTCATTTTGAGCCAGATATGAAGTTGGCAATATAACACCATGGTAGTCAATTATGTTAGCTCCTAATACAAATATGACATTCAGAATAGTGCCATGATTTAATCACAAATATGGTTTGGTTATTCTCTGTTTAAAAGAGCTATAATGCAAATCGTAATTTTATTACCCCATGTTTTGTTAATCATGAAGCGAATTATAATTCGCCCTATATTTTGTGTTAAAAAAATTTTATTTTGCGAAAGAGTTGACCAATTTTGATATATTGTTTTTTTCCATATCATTCAATCTATTCAGAGATGAGATTGAAGGTTCGAGGAAACAATTTTGAGGTGAAAATACGCTCAATCTTTGTTTTACTCTCTCTTTTCTTTCTTAACTTCACGGGTTCCTTTTTCATTTTGACTATATTATTTTTCGCATTGATATTTATCAATTACTCTGCCCAAATAATACAAATTTTATCGACAATTATTTATTCCACATCTGCATCGAGAAAACGACGACTTTCGATTGCATATTACGATTTCTTTTCAAACTCACAGAATAAGGAAGTTATAAACCGAAAATTAAGTTTAAGGCGACAAATTTTGGTGTCGGCAAATTATGAAGCAGAACGAAAGTTACTCTTGGAAGATGTGGCAAAATTGGAGCGGTTCATTTTACGAGATTTTGTAGAAATTTGGGCCAACGAGATTAGGTTAGTTCACTTACATTTCAAATAAGTCTTTTGGCAGATCTTGGGGCTCATCTAATGCAACAAAATTAACCGCAGATGTATGGCTTGCACTTTTTTCTAATGACTCGGTAAGAGAGGGGTAGGGAGTTTCGGATAGAGTGAGAGGGAGGGGGATGGGTAGATTAATACTTTTCATACCTATCAAATTTTAGAGTATTTCAATCCCGCAATACTTCAACTGCTTCGAACTTCTGCCCAAATATATCCGATTGAACTTGTGATCCAATAAACCAAAGATATTAGGCCATTACTGAGTTTTCTAAGGACGTATTGGTTAATCTTTTTGTAAGGAATCAAGATTAACGACAACTGTTAGTAGCAGCATTTCAGCTAGATGCTGGAACATTCTGAATTTTACCTCACTTCAATTAAAGCTTTACTCAAGCCAAGCTCAAACGCCTAGACATTCTGGTTTGGTAGTTGTAATATCTTTATATTGTGATTAGCAAGATTTTTGCAATGGAATTCCAAAATTTTCTCCCGTAAACACTTTCGTTCACACGACTCATCTCATCTGGACTTCTGAACTTATCTATAGTGGTACCTTGTTTTTGAATTAAATCTAAATTATTCAAACTTTATAGCGTTCCCAATCTTTTTAGTTAGAGAAAACGAATACGCCTGGGTATTCTGTTCCAAATAAAATTATGGGCCAATTATTTGACTGCTTATCTTTTGTTGACTTAGTAGCCACATCTTAGAATCGTTGTTTTTCTTGCTCCACGCATGTTCCGAATGCGCTTTTAGTGTTTCGTTTACTTGTAATTGACTTTCACTTTGACTTTGTATTTTCTTTTTTATTACGTTTTGTTTCGCTTTATAGCTTTATTCTGACCAAATTAATCTGGGCAATTTTTCATTGGCTTAGTGACCTTTTTTGGGTTTTTTGTGGGAAACATACTTTTTACGGTCCCCTCTGCACTTTCTAGTTTGGTTGCATTTTTTGCAATCGGTTTTCAGTTATGATAACCAGCTTTCAATTTTTTTTGCAAATCAGAGCAGGCTTGAAAATTTAGTAGGAAAACTAAAAGTTTTAATTACATTTGAAATATAGGATATTTATTCAAGAAAGACCAATTTCGCCTATCAGTTGATCAAAGAACTAAAATATTATAATTTTTTCAAAGTTTCGTGTTTGTTACGACTCGCGAAGAAAGTGATACAAAATTTGTGCGAAATGTGGGTTTTTTCTTAAGACTAATTTTGGCTTGTTAAGTACTATTTTGATAATTTTTTTCTTCAAAAATAAAAATTGTTTTTAGGAGGTAAATTTTGAAATTTTGGTGGTTGATATAATGCCAAACTGGCCAACTTGGGACAATTAACGCGCAATACATTATGCGCCATTAACGCAAAAGTCGTCTTAGAAATCATTCCGAATCAATTGAAGCAAGCTATTTGTCATAATTGCTATGTTACCAAGGGCGAAATCTATCAATTTGTACATTAAATGGCGTGTAGGGGATATTTCAAAACAATCTCAAAAAATTTACAATCTCGAAGTTATTAAATTTTTTTTTGCAAAATTCAGTTTTAAATATTCATAAACTTTAAAAGGCATTCGGAATATTCAAGGATTCATTTTGATAGGAGCAGTGTGGTTCAATTTGTCTTCGATATATTTCAAGCTATTTTAATTATCGCTTGATTTACCTTTTTTCAAATCAACAATTTTTTAATAGTTTGACACACTTTTTTGTAGTCTGCTTCTGAAACAATCGTTGACAATTGATTACAAGTTTTAACATTTTTGAAACTGAACATATTTGAGAAAAAAATGCTTTGCCTAAATTCCTTGAAAGTTTCAATTCGTTTGTTTGTTTTACTTTGATTATTTAAGATTTCCACTAGTTGAAAAAATCAAAACTTCTCCTCACTTAAAATAAGCTTGAAAAACAACTGTTGCAATAATACGAAACTAGTTTAACTCGCCCAGTCAATTTTTTTAAATGAGTTTTATATTAATTTTAGCTTCATTGCTTAAAAAAATTTTCCATTTTGAAGTCTCAAACTTCCATAGAAATGATACAATTTTTTAAGCAAGGAAGCTAAAATTGTTATGAAAACTCTTTTAAAAAAATTGACTGGGCGAGTTAAACTATTAACGTATTATTGCAACAGATATTTTTCAAGCAGTTATTCTAAGTAAGGAAAAACTTTGATTTATTTCAGGAAATTTTTACTTCTGGGATTGAAATGCAACGATGTTTTTTTTATTCAAAGGTTATTTTCATCAAACACTTTGGGTTAAGTTTCTTCGTTATGATTGAAAGTTGAATGAATTGATCAATATTTGACGGTTTTATAGTTTTCCTATAAGGATAAAAAGAATATTCATTTGTCGAGCCATTTTAAGCCAAACAAAATAGCCTCAACGGCATTTTTTCATCGTTTCAATAGCATTTTTTGAACATTGACGTATCTTGTTTATGAAAAAAATTATAGGATTTAAACTTTTGAATTATTTTGTGAAACCTCCTAAGATGGCTTCAGGCTACCATTAAACCTTTCATAATTTCAATTAATTGAAATGAAAACTCAACCCATTTCAAATCAAGACAACGTCAATACATTCATATTTTCATCTGTTGAAGTGATTGATAAAACTAATTTTTCTTAACAATAAATAAGTCTTCATTCTGTCATTATAATTATCTCAAAAATGAAACGATTTCTTGAAAACTTTTAAAGTTAACCTTCGAAATCTTTTTGAAAATTGCATTCAAAAAGGTAGTTGATCTCACAAAAAATTACTCTCACTCGATAGTTGATCTCACTGGGGAATCAATTTGAATTGATTTAAAAATTGAATATAAAAAAAACTGTCAGAACTGACATCAGCATTTCATTGCTTGATTTGATGATTTTGATTGATGTATTTTTTCTTGAATTGTGTTTCTTCAAATACTTTTCAATTCGTAAAGTGAATTTAATTTCTTTCTGGTTTTCTACTTGAAATGCTTGCTTGAAGTATATTTTAAGTTTTTTTTGTAAAACAAATGCGGCTTCAAACTTGCTTTAACATCTTGAAAAAATCAGCATTGGAATGGTTGATTGATAGATTTTAATTTCTTTGTGAATCATGTCAAGCCTTCAAAATCAACTTGAAAAAATTCGAGTTTCATTGCCTAGTTCATCAAGTCATTTTTTTAACATCAGCTTTAATGCATTGGTCTATATCTCTGAATTTTTTGCTCGAAAAAATCAAATTATAGCATGTCGCTTCAAATCGTCAAACAAATTTTAATATTTTCCCTTGTTTCTTCGTTTTGAATGTTTTCGAAAAATTCGTTTCCACATTCAGAATCAAAATAAGTACCAAAATTTTCATGACAGGAACTGATTTCTCTAAAAAATTGAGCCTTTACAATTCTCTTCAACTCGTCAAGCCAGTCGAAATACTTCTTGAACTGATTGTTTGCAATGTTTTTTTGATAAAATTTGGTTAATTGTAATATCACGCCTGTGAAATCAACCTAATTTTCAATCTGGCCACAAATAATTTTTTTTCAAAGTGTTTCATATCATCAAATCATATCAAAAACTTTCATTGTTTTGTCGCTCGATTTGTATTGTCTAAAAACTTGAGTTTTAGAGATTAATCGCAGTTTTCAAAATTGACTGATGGTTTTTCTAAATTGAATTGCGGCTCTTTTTCCCCAACCGCTAATTTTATACAAGTAGTGTTATTTTGTCCGGGTGTCGGTTGTCCAGATATGACACATGTTTATCCTTGTTCCACACTTTTTTTCACTTATTTAAGCTTGTAAAAACATTCAAAACGTCAAACATGATGCGCATGCGAGGTTGGTGGAATCGGATAAAAGCCGCTTTGCTTTTTTTGCTTGCAAATTTAGAAAAAATAGTACAGATCATTCCAAGCCGCTTCGCTCTTTTCAAGTAGTTTGCTTGAAAAACTGAAAAACTATTGTTTTGGTAAACTGATTCAGGCTATCAAAAATATTTTTAATGAATTTTTTTCGAGGTTTTTTTTTGAGTTGCTTGATCAAGAAATAATTTAGTTAAACAGAAAATGTAGACCTCAAATGATATAGAAATGATTAATTGTAACTTTATCGATTTGCATGTCGGAATTTTTATTTTTACTTTTACGCATTCCTAGCTTTATTAAAGTTATACCAGTCAACAAGTAGAATTTGTTCGCGAAAACGTTTAAGAACTAAATGAAGCAATCCAGGTTCTTTGAGCAAACAATTTTTAATTTAGTTGGCTTGAAAAATCCAAAATGTTACGATCACTGTTCGAACTAAGAAGTTAAATTGAGCCTTGAACGCTTGATCAATAAATTTTTATCGTTTTTGCTAAACTTTCAAGATATCTGTATAAATCGGTATCTGATAAATCTGCATTCCGAAAATATTGATCAAGCATCTCAAATATTTGTTACCCACAATCCACCAAAAAAAAACAGCTAGAGAAAGCTAAAGTTATTAACATTCCATAACTTTGTTTTCTTAAAACAAAATTCCATATTTTGTGTCTTTGACTTGGTACAAGTTGTGTTTTTTGTCCAAAAAAAAAGAAAAATTTACAAGCAAATTTAAAAAAAAAAACAAATTAAACCTGAAATTGGAAAAAAAAACAGTTCTTTTCGCGAATAACGAAACTTCAAAGTAAAATTTTTCAAGCCTTATAGAAACGATTACTCGGTTACTTTCTTGTTATATACGTCTAAGCAAAAAATTTTATTCTAACGTTAATAGAAAAATTATCACAGGCAGTGTGCATCCAATTTGAAAAGACTAAAAGCCGTTCAATTCAAGGTAGTTGGTCAAAAAAATATGGTTTTGGTAAAATGATTCAAGCTATCAAAAAATTTTTTCGAAGTTTCATTTTGACTCGCTTTTTGACACAGCTAATTTAGACCTCAAAACGTATAAAAATATTTAGTTGTAACTTCATCGATTTGCATACCGGAATTTTTTTTACCCATTCCAAGC